ATGCAGAGCTTTAAGCTTTGAGGCCTCTCTTCTATAGAACAGCTTATAGTTTGTATTTGTGAGACACCCTCTTTACTTTCAACATTAGGCTTAACCCTCTGGGCTCTATGCTGGCCATTTGTGGCCACTTCACTTTTCTTTTTTCAACCATTTTCATTCTGTTGATGCATTTTGAAATGAAACTTCCTAAAGGTCTATTTTTTTCAGATTTTTTAATTTTCAACATCAGCTCCTTAATAATATCAATAATATACACTATACAGCAAATTGTTCCTCTCGCCTTCACCAAAACTACCACAGCGATATCCCACATGCCAAAGCAACAGAGGAATGTGCTTCTTTTGACAGCAACACACAAGGAACCAGCAGTCAGTGATGGGGAATAGAGGACGCCTGGGAACAAGAAGCAATCCTGGACTACAATAGGCACAAATACAGCTTGGATAACTTAGAGAGGATGTTGGCACCTCGAGTCGTAGCTGTTAGCATAGCGTAGGTGTTTCATAATGTTGTAAGTGGCTGAGTTTATGCTGCCAACAATGGGTCTGAGTGGGACCTCCTCTTTGTTGATTTTAGGAAGTCTGTAAATACAGGGTATGGCACCCCATGGGTATAGACGATGATGTGTAGGGCGGTCAATGATTTCGTCCTTTTCAAGGTCTTGAAGGCAAGCGATAACTTTCTTTTTGTAGCTGCTTCTGACCGGCCTCCAGCGTGCTACGCGTAACACGCTGGAGGCCGGTGAAAAGGCGCACCTCCAGGATTGGACCAGCAGTCCCTTGCACCACGTGTAGAAACTGTGCCTACAAAAACACTCTACTGTGGTTAGCACATCTTGCTGCTAATGAGGATGCACACAGAAGCACACACTGAAATATACATTTTGATCATTTCAGTGGTTATTTGGTCATTAAATTGCCTTTCTGGCCACTAACACACCATATGTGATTTTCTTTTTGGCCATTCATCAAAAAAATAAATAAAATAAAGTAAAAATAAATCAAATGTGAACTTTGTTACTATTTTCCCCCAAAAGCGTAGCAATAATACGTAATCTGACTGGTATTCAAAGGGTATAACTTCTGAATTTGAATTATATTTTGGTTTTCATGACTAGGACCTGTACTAATTTAAAAATCAGTCAATGAAAGTAGAAAAATGTTTTAATATATTTTAATTTTATAGCATTTTGTAAACGTAAACAAGGGGTGGCCATTTTTGGCCACGAACAAGCTGAGAGGGAGTCTTTTTGTTTTTGCTCTCCCTGCACAAAAATAACAATGCATTATAATCAATGTTGATGTGAATCAATTACATGCCCCAGACTCTACTATTAATAATACAAGAAATTCCAGTAGCAATGCAAATATATAAAATTGTGGGATTTGAGGTTGTCTTCCAGCTAGCGCAGTGGACAAACAAACTGGTGTTTAAAGGGTTAAAAATTTAAAAATTTATGAAAAGAACTGAAGTTAGTTAAAAGCTTTATGCAGAAAAAATGGCAAAAAAAAATAAAACACCAACAGACCTAATCTGTTGGTGGCCACTTTTGGCCACGAACAAACTGAAAGGGTGGTGATTTTGAACAAACCCAGATGGTTAACACTTCCGTTTTTGATGAAGCATATAAAATGATCTTCTGACTTGGTGTTATATAAATAAAACGAGCTGAAGAAAAACTTTGTGTTATATTTGAGTGGCCCTTGAAAATATCTAGAAAAGTATTTAATATATGAAGCAATCATCATTTGAATCATAACTCGGTGCA